TCTGCTGGGTAGGGAGGAGGCACTGACAGCAGGCAAAAGGAGGAGACTCCATTGCTGGGACAAAGCATGGAGAACAACGAGCAGATCGGGGGGCGATGGAAGGTTTCTTATTCCTTCCCAGCAGCAGGTGCAGTTGGGGGCACAAGAGGGGGGGGGACTGGATGGTGTATCACTGATCTGGATGAAGGATTGCCAGTTACATTGTCACTCTGCATCCAGCTACATAGTTACACGCTGTTTTCCAGGCGCAGGGTGAAGTTTTTAAGATTTGCCCCTGGAAACTGTTTTCCAGCTTTTGTAAGATCTAAGGATCACCATACATGTTCCAATCAACTTTAGATTTACTGAACCTGTAATATGAGGACTTTTCTAATCAATGTGTCCCTCCAATCAGGCGGGTCCTTCTAGTACATGTTACTAGATCTAATCTTATACAATCAGATTGTAACTTGTGTTATGGCTGCACACCTATCTGTAGGTGTGTATTTAGCATGTCAATGTGCGTTTTCTAATGTGCATCATCATATGTTTTTAATGCAATTTCTGCATCCACCTTTTTTTTTATTTTCAAATCTTAACTGAACAAACTAAGAGAGAAGCTGATTGGTTGCCATGGGCAACTGCTCCACATTCTGTCTGCTCCAGTTTTGATAAATTCACCCCTGAGCGTTTTGTTGGCAATGCTCAAAATAGGGAAGGGTGGGGAATGACAGAATCTGGAGTAGTTGCCTATGGCAACCAAGCAACTTCTATCTTTCATTTTCAAAGCTTAAAGGAGAACTGTGGGGTTAGGGCTTTTCTCCATAGTTCTCCTAAGGGTAACGGGAGGACACAAACTAGCGTCCTCCCGTCACCCAAAGCTCAGTATACCACAAGCTACATACTGAGACGCCGCAGCCGGAAAGGTATACTGAGATGCTGCAGCCGGAACGGATCCTGACAATTCTGTCTGGATCCACCCAGCTGGGTGAGTGACAGCTGGCTCTGCCTATCTAGAGGCAGAGCCAGCTGTACCCTCCCCCGTCTGTTCTGCCAGTCAGCGCTGGACGATCGGACAGGGGAGGGGGGAATCCCTGCAGGGAGCTGTGAGTGACAGTCACGGCTCTCTGCGTGGATAGATTAAGAAGTGAGCGAGCGCCGGTATGTGTTCGCTCACTTCCCGATCTACTGAGCCGACCTGTGACAGTCTCATTGTCACACGTCGGCTCGGATTATGAGGCTGAGTGAAAAACACTCGCCTCATAATTCTCATTTAACTGAAAAGAAAAGATGATTGGTTCCCATGGGCAACTGCTCCAGATGCTGTCTGCTCCAGTTTTAATGTATTCCCATTCTTCTCAGTTGTGCCCGTTCGCCTCTGACTGTTGTGTCACTTGACCCTTGTCAGGTGGAGAAGTATATGAACTTTTTTGGGGGAAGAATTGTGCGTTTTTGGCCCTATATTCTTCAATGGGAGAAGCTGAAAGACATGTGAATTAGCGCAACCGGTTTCTTTTTTGGGGCAGAGTCGTGCGTTTTTGGTCCCACAGACTTCAATGGGAGCACCTGAAAAATGTGTGTGTCTATAGGGAATCTGAGGGAAACGGACACATCAGAACCTCTGGTCCGGCACAATCCAGTCTGTCGAAACGGATCAATGATCCATCTGTTTTACCGGACCAAGCCGGGGCTAACCAGGTGTAAACGGACATTCGCCTGTTTAAACCCGGCTGCCCATAGACTTCCATAGAGTGTCCGATCGGGTCCGGCTGATAAACTGACCTGATCGGACTGCTCGCCTGAAAGGGGCCTTCCATTGGCTAAAACAAAACATCCGTATGTCTGTAAAAAATAAAGCAGCTGGACTTGCTGTATTTTTCTTGACGATGTTTTGCTGGTCATCCAACCAGCTTTCTCAATTGAGAATTCAGTTTCAGAATTGAGAAAGCTGGTCGGATGACCAGCGAAACATCTTCAAGAGAAATACAGCAAGTCCGATTGCTTTGATTTATTTTTTACAGATACACCATGACCTGGATGAATGAGAACCTTCAGACAAAAGCACCTGCAGCTTGATAACACATAAGGGGGGGAAAAATTAGCAAAAAAGCGTCAGGTTTCCCTGAATATGCTCATTCTCAGATGTAAATGGGGACTCGTTTTTGATGAATTCATGGGGGCGAAACGCACCAGTGCCATTTTGTCTATTGCATGGCAACGCAGGTATGAACAGTCCCCATCGAAAACTGGTGAAGCTCCGGACGTGCGTCGGTGCATGTTGGGAAACCTGTGTTAAATTGCAAAGCTGTGAATGGGGTGTTATAAGAATCCAGCTTTCCATCTGTGCCCATAAGCGTCATTCTTATCATTTCCTCCCGTGACATTTTTAAAGGGTTATTTAAAGTGAAAATGCTTTAAGCTATTTCAAATGCTGATGAAATGACGTACAACGGATGCTGCTTCTTGAGGAATAAAAGTTTTAGTTTCCGGCAGAATCAGCTGGTCCCCTGAGCGCTGGTCCTGATATCCTGTTTCAGGGGGCTCCTTTCCTTTGCAGGGTCCTATGGTCTTGCTGTATACTGTATGAATGGCACCATTAATATAGTAATTAGGAGGCAAAGGGCGATAAATGACACTTATGGGTCTGTGTTGACGGGTTTTGCACTTGTGACATCTGTTTGGTACTCTTCTGAGATCAATGATGGACTCGTTTATTTGCCTTCTGACCTGCTGTTGACTTGCTTCTAGTGTGTTTTTCCATTCCTTTTGACTTCTATAGGAATACAAAACCTGTTTGATGCCAACAAAAGCCCGTCCACACAGGCCCTGCGCTTTGCCCGCGCTAAGCGAAGCATGCGGTTTGCTGTAAAGTCTGCTCCCCTTTCTTTGCTCTGCCGCTGCTCAGTTCAGCTTCCGAAAGCAATGGGAACACAATGGGGGCCATTCAATACAGCGTCTGAGACACTTTTCTGGTGTTGTGGTTGCTTTTAAAAGTTCAGCGCCAAATTCATGATCTCTACTGCTCTCTGAAAAGGGATTCACTGAATATCTTTACAGCTTAGAACACTAACAGCACCAGGGTATCTTCTTGTCTGGTCCTCTCTGAGTGACATCCTAGATGATCCCTATAATTCTATTTGGTACAGGGACTCTCTATCCAAAGCTTTCCCTTTATGTCCTGGATAGACTATAAGATAATTAGTCCCGCGAAGATTCTGTGCTCAAAGTTCCAGCATGGCTCGTCTTGTGGGTTGAATAACACCCAGGGTCATTCAACCCACTTCTGTGAGTCCGGGCTGTCATGGACCTGTCCCCAGGGGCACATTAACAAACCGGCCTGGGCTCATAGAAGAATGCTGTATTTCATTATGTGGCACCAAGGATCTGCCCCACCACTGAAGATGAAGAGCTGTAATGACGTCACATGACCGGATGGGAGACCTTGGGGAAAAGGGAAAGCATGCTTTTTATTTAACAGGTGCAGGAAAATGCTCC